TTTGAAGTATCTTAAAATAACTGGAAGAACACCTTCATTATTCGAAAGTACTTTATTTTCTCCTTTTATTGTGCCTTTGGCATAAAATGATCTTTATTATTCTCTTTTAATTATAAAATGAATATATGCTTAGAACTTATAGAATATATGCATATACCAGAAACAACTAATGAACCAAAGTCCTCATAACCTTACTGACCAGTGACAGTTTTTTCTTGGGCTTAAACTTTTAAAGTATATTTACATATTGTTGTATGTATCTTGTGCTGTCTTTACAAAACATATTGTGGGTATCCTCCTATTATAGTAAGTGTGGTTCGTCAATGTCCATTTTAATGAGACATATTAGTCTATTGTCTGAATGCGCTATTATTTAGTTTTTTGTTTTGTTTTTGAGTCAGAGTCTCATTTAGTCGCCCAGACTGGAGTGCAGTGGAGTGCTCACAGCCATCATGGGTTCAGGTGATCCTTCTACCTCAGCCTTCCAAGTAGGTGGAACTACAGGCATGCGCCACCACATCCAGTTAATTTTTTGATTTATCGTAGAGACGAGGTCTTGCCATGTTGTCCAGGCTGGTCTTGAACCCGTGATCTTAGGCAATCCTTGCCTCTGCCTCCCAAAATGCTGGGATTACAGGCATGAGCCACTGCGCAGGGCTTATTTAGTTCTTTAGCTTTTGGTATTCTCATTTTTTTTCTACTATAAACTGTGCTGTCATAAACATCCTAGTGTTTAAAATTTATGTGAAAAATGAGTTATTTCCTTAGACTAAATTCCAACCTGAATTACTGGATCACAAGTTTGGTATGTCTTTAAGCCTTTTGATATATATTGCCAAGTCTCTTTCCAGAAAGTTACACTAATTAACACTCCCACCAGAAAGTTGTATATGAGAGTGTTTATACAGCCAACAGATTACTAGTGCCCTTTATTTATTTTATTTTATTAGTATTTTTTAATTTGGGTCAATTCAAGAAGGTTAAAAATATATTTCAAAAAATGTACTTTTTAAAAACTAATGATTCTAACCTTTTTTTCATGTACTTATTAGTCATTTGTTTTGTTTTGTTTTGTTTTTGAGTTGGAGTCTCACTCTGTCGCCCAGACTGGAGTGCAGTGACCACTCCCCGGCCACCGCAGCCTCAACCTG